ATCCCAGACGGTGCGGGGGAGGGGTTGGCAGGAGAGGTGTGCGGAGGGGACGGGGCAGGGTGGTGGCTCCCGAGTGCAAGCTGGGGGCTGGCGTGCCTGGGTTCTGCTCGGGCTGGGGTCTTGGGTGCTCGGGAGGAGGGAGGTGGAGTGACCCCTTGGAGGGGCTGGGGAGTGGGGGGACTCCTTTCCATAAGGGCTCAGCTTGGGCGACCGGGTGAGGAGGGGGCTGTGCCAGGGCAGGGTCCTGGCCGTCCTGGTGATTGGTTTATCTAAGGAGTGTTTAGTGCCATTCCCCTGAGGGTCCTGGCCCGCCCGTGGGCTCATGCTCCTCCTGACCAAGGGCTGCTTCAGGCCTGACCCTGCTTTTTCTGTCTCCGCAGAGTTCACCTTCCAGCAGCCCTACGATCAGGCCCACCTGCTGGCCGCCATCCCCCCGCCTGAGGTCCTCAACCCCTCGGCCTCGCTGCCCATGCTCATCTGGGACTCTCTCCTGGCACCCCAAGTCCAGCCAGTTGGCTGGGCCTCTCTCCAGCCCCAGGAGGGCCCCAAGGCTGCTGAGCTGACCTCCTTGTCCGACGAGGACAGCGGGAAGGGCTCGCAGCCCCCCAGCCCGCCATCTCCTGCTTCTTCGTCTTTCTCCTCCACCTCAGCCTCTTCCCTGGAGGCTGAGGCCTATGCTGCCTTTCCAGGCTTGGGCCAACTGCCCAAACAGCTGGCCCAGCTGTCCATGGCCAAGGACTCGCAGTCTCGCAAGGCCTTCAACTGCAAGTACTGCAATAAGGAATACCTCAGCCTGGGTGCCCTCAAGATGCACATCCGAAGCCACACCCTGCCCTGCGTCTGCGGCACCTGCGGGAAAGCCTTCTCCCGGCCCTGGCTACTGCAGGGCCATGTCCGGACCCACACCGGTGAGTACCCCTGCAGGCCATGACACTGCCCCACTGTTCTGCCAGGCTCCATGGGTCTGCTTGCTGGGCTGGTTTTCAAACTTGCAGAAGTTCCTGACTTCTAGCTCAAGTTCAGTGCCTGGCACCCAGCAAGTGCTGGGTGGGAAGATTCGTTCATCAGCCAAGCAGATGGGCACAGGCCTCTGCAGCCTGTTTCTCAGCCAAATGGCTTGGAGCTGGAGAGGGAAAGGTGTGACCCACACCTTGCCGTTAGGCGGGGTGTGAAGGGGCCCACTCTGCTCCACCCTCCCCCAGCCCACACCGACCTTAGCCAGACAGGATGTTGTTAGACCCTCTCCCTGGCTCCTATCCTGCTTTGACAACTTCCTCAGATTTGGGAACCTGTTTTCTCATCTGTAACACGGGTATAAGAACACTCTGGGGTTTCGCTGCAGGTTAAACGAGAGATTGCTTATTACTAGCGAAGGCAACGTGCGTGGGGTATGATTTGCTGTCATTAGAACAGTCGTTGGTATTTGCCCGCATCCATGCCCTGCAAGTTGGGCAGATGACTTCAGTTTCTGAACCTCTGGGATTATGGTAGCCTATGTGGGTCTTATAAAGTGTTACTGAGGTTGTTAAGCACTTTATAATAATCCATTCTAATTATTATGCTTCTGGGATCTGCTCCTCTCACCCCCTTTCAGTCCCTGCAGACCAGGGAACACCGTCTTTGCAGGCAGAAAACACATCACAATCTGGTGTTCCAGAGCCATAACACTACAGGGGTAGAAAACTCCCCCGAAGCAGGGAGGGTAGCTGTCCTGTCTTTTCGGGGACTTGAGTGGAGGCCTCGACATTCAGGCTGCTCTTTGGAGAGTGACTGTTGAGGGAGAAGGTTCAAGGGTCATGGCTGTCGGCCTAGGGGTCAGGCTGGCCAGGCTGGAGACTGGGTTGTGCCCTTTCCCTGCCCAGCGGCTGAGCCTGGAGGTGGTGGTGTGTGGGGAGGCCTGGCATTTTGCAGGCTTTATTGGCACCATCGTTACTTCACAAAGGCCATCCATTTCTTTTTGAGTTTGTGGAAAAACTGCCGATTTTAACATGTGAAGGTCCAACTGTCTGGCCTGTCTCCTGGGGCCTGCCCAGCTACTGGGGGCTCTCCGAGCCTGCCCTCCGCCCCTCCCCTCCCTGACGTTAGTTATTTTAATGTAAAGGCACGGAACAGACACAAAAACCCCGTTGAAATGCACCCTCTCTGTCCTCATTGACTTCATTGTGTGCCTGGATGGTGGGCGCAGTGGGTGGGGGCTGGGAGGGGTGGAGCAGGTGCCTGGGCCAGCGGTGCCCAGCACCTGTTCCGGCCGCAGCTGCTGGGCCGCGGCATGGCAGGCCCTTTAATCCGGGGGTATCGCATGTACAGTGCCCCCCTCAGCGTCCTTTGTCCCCACCGGCCTGGTGCCGATTTCACACTTGCCAGGAGTACCATAAAGGCGTCTGGGGGCAGGGGACCTGGGGAGGGGGGTCTGCACCTCCTGCGTGTACACACTGACATCACCCCCCTCACATCCTATAGCGCCTCCTTCCCCCTTTGTTCTGGTTGATGTCTGGTCACATTTCCAGCCCTTGCTATGAGTGCCTGGGCTTTACCAACAGCCCCAGGACAGGGTGCCATCCCCCTCAGGATCTGCAGGCAGACCCCAGTCACCAGGGAAGGTGTGAGTGAGGGGGAACTTCACCCCAACCTTGTAGGGTGCAGTCATCAAGCCTTTTCCTCCTGCCAGGTAGAAGGTGCTCAGTGCATAGCCAGATGCCCAGCTAGGCCCCCTCCTCACTGTGACTGGAGCCTGAGCCCAGGTCGCAGGGCTCAGTCCTTGTTGAACGCACGGGCATCCCTCTCACCCAGCAGCGCACACAATGCCCCAAGCACTCAATAGGTGATGGAATTACTGCATCCTCAGCTCTTCAATTCTAGCACCAGGTGACCTTGGGCCAGGCTGGTTGGGTAGCTGTGGTTTAAGGAGTGGGACATGGCCCGGGGGCATGCCAGACTGGGCTGGGAGGACATTCACTGTCATACTGTGTCACTGGGAAAGTCGTGAAGCATTTTTGCACAGAAAAATACATCATGACTTTCTTGACAACCTGATAAAATAGTGCCAGGCGCTTGCTTAGTGGGAGCTCAGTAGATACTTGTTTAACAAGATCCTGTCAGACTTTCTATCTGGATAATGCGCAACCCCGAGAAAAGCCACACCTGGCTACTGTGTTTGGAGCCATGCCCTCCTGGTAGGGGCAGTGGTTAGGGTTAGGAAAGGGCATTATCTGGTGACCACAGGCTCCTGAGGCCTTTTTCACCTATTTATTTATTTACTTTAAATAATTACTTAATTTATTATCATCATTATTATTTGTTTAATTTGACTAGAGAGAGACAAAACGGAAAGTAGGAAGGCAAGCTTTCAGGTCCAGGATTTGAACCACAGTCTGCTCTGTGGCAGTCCGGTGCCTAACCGCCACCTGCCTGCCCTCCATCTTTCCTTTTTAAAGTTTTACATTTTAGCCACATATTGGAGAAATTGTTTACATTTTTTTATGATGGAGAGCACATGCAGAACAGAGGAGCACCCTCGACAGGGTCTTCTGACCCGTGATCCCCTTTCCCTGGCCCCCTAGCTCCAAGGATCTTGGTCAGCCATGTGGCCGCTGACACTGCAGTTCAGTATGCTGCAGGCCGGGCTGCCTTGGCTGGGCCTTTTGTTGTTTTTACTAGACTTAATGTTTCTGTAGCACCCTGGTGGGCCAGCTATGGGGAGCAGGGTTCCCAGACTTAGCGTGGGACTTGGAATGGGCTTCAGGACGGCCCCTGCCCTATGGGACTCGCAGTGTGCTTGGGGGGAACCGACCAGGGCCTTGGGTTCGTATAGCGGGCCCGCTCTGGGGCCAGAGAAGCAGCTTCACCTGCTGGGAGTTGGAGATGGGAGCTCTGAGGGCTGACTCCAGCTTTGTCCCCAGACAGTCAGGAAGGACTTTGGGGGCTGATAAGAAACCTCCCCCCCAGCCCCGACTGAGAGGCACTGTGTGGTGGTGAGAATCCAGGTCTCTGGAGACCTGCTGGGTGACCCTGAACATGCTGCTTAACTCACATGCCTCGGTTTCACTGTGACGTGAGTCAGCTCAGATGACAGTAGTGACAGCATTCGGCCATCGTCGCTGCCGGGCTCTTTCCACACACCTGTGTGACGGGATAAGTACTACGTCCTACCTTCTCTCACCTGCCAACGCCTGTGAGTGGGGGGTGAACTGCCCCATTTTACAGATGAGAAAATCGAGGCGTAGGGAAGCCAGACGTGCACAGTGGGAAACCCAGGCCTTCGACACTGGAGCCATGTGTGTACCTTCTTTCAGGGTAGGGGGTTGGGGAGGAGGGACCTAGTTGGTGCCTCACCCCAGTTCTCACTGGCTCCTCCACCTCTGTCCGCAGGTGAGAAGCCCTTCTCTTGCTCGCACTGCAGCCGTGCCTTCGCCGACCGCTCCAACCTGCGGGCACACCTCCAGACCCACTCCGACGTCAAGAAGTACCAGTGCAAGACATGCGCCCGGACCTTCTCCCGCATGTCCTTGCTCCACAAACATGAAGAATCGGGCTGCTCAGGGGGCCCCCGCTGACCCTGGAAGCTCCCTCTGCCTCTCTGGACCTCCCCCTTTAAGTGGCCTCCCTCTGCTCCAGAAGGACGGACTCTGCGTCCTTCTCACTGCCACGGGATTCCGTGAGTGCCTCACTTCCGGCTGTGCGTGAAGGCCCTTTCAGTTCTGATCCTTATGCTCGGGGCGCCCAGTGGGCTCTGGAGAGGTTTCATGGTGGCCAGTGCTGGGGAGGGCCACCTGCAGGGGAGGCCGCTCCTGGCAGCTGAGCTCGTACATCCCCGGGTCGCCTCCGTGAGTGTTTCCAGAGCAGTTTGGGAACGGCTGCGTGGGGCTGCAGGACAGGAGCCGGGAGCCAGTGGACTGACCAGGACGCTCCGCCCCGCTCAGGTCCCCACCCCCTTGCCCAGGAACCTTGAGGCCACCCTCTCTGAGGTGTGACTAACTATGCAATAATCCATCCCCAGGTGCGTCCACGGGCCTGTCGGGGCAGTCGCAGGACACAAGGACGTGTCTAGACCTCCATGTGCCCCTGAGCCTGGGGCAGCTATTTCAGCCTCTGTTTGTCACAGTGGCACCTGTTTCACAGGCAATTTGATGGTGTCTCAAAAAGGACTGTGAGTAATGGCCATCACTTGTTGGGGGCCAGAGTGGGGCACTTCAGCCTGACCAGTGCGTCTCCCAGAACTGTTGTGGGGGCCCAACGGGTGGGCCTGGGAGGAAGATGTTTACATTTTTTAAGGTACACTGGTATTTATATTGCAAGCCGCATTTTGTATTGAGGAAACGTTTTGTATAGTTATATGTACAGTTTATTGATATTCAATAAAGTGATTAATTTATATATAAAATGTCTACTTGGTCTTACGGAGAGGTGGGTATTTTAAAGGGTCCTTAGAGAGGAAGGAGGGGCAGAAATTCCTGGAGCTGAGATATTTCCGACATAGCCGGCAGGCTTGTCCTTGGAAACATCACGTGACTTCGGAGTCCCAGGTCTGGCTGTCGGGAGCTCTGTGTGCCTGGGTTTTCCCCAGGGCCTGAACACCCCGTGTGGGGGCTTGGTGCTGTAGGAGGCAGTGAGCAGGGGTCCGAGCCACCTCCTTCAATAAGCCACTCTCTTGTCTCATCTCATTGCACTTCGAAGCCCATTGGGCCCAGGAGGTATGAGGCTGGCTTTCCAGGTCCTGGGGCCCAGATGGGCTGCCTGGCTTTGCCCAGAACTGCAGGTTTGGGGCCAGGTGGGCCTTTGCACCCAGAGCAGCAGAATGCAGCCTCAGCGACGGAGACAGGATGGCCTTCCTGTTTCCAAGTGTTCTGGCCCTGCTCTGGCCTCCCTGCCGACCCACACCTCCATCTGGCCTCTGGGTACCAAATGGCCTTTGATGCCAGGAAATTAGCTGGCTGGAGCCGGGAGGGTGAGAAGCCAGGCCAAAGGGTAGGGGTCATTCAGCTTCCTGCTCCCAGGACCTGGAGGACCATCACTTGTGGCCTAAACTGGGTAATTCACTCCCTCAGCTGGTGGTGGTGACCTCACCCTTGGGGGCCTCCTGGGGCCAGGAGAAAATGAGTGTCCTTTGTGAGCACAAAAGGTGCTGAAGGTGCCAGTTTCCTGCGGGGAACTGGAGCTTCCAGAGGTTCAGAGCCCCAGAGTCAGGCTGGGGGTGGGGGAGCTCCGTGTTCCAAAGGAGAGATGGTTCTTTCTTCTAAACAGGAAATGGTGACCCGCGGGCGGGAGCAGCCCTTAATGACTTGCAGCTTTCCTCCCAAAAGGAAAAAAAAAAAAAAAGTTCTGGAACAATCGCCAAATTGTGGCTGGCCTCCCTGAAGGGAAGTACAGGAGTTGGGGGTTGGGCACCAACTTGCTGAAGGCCTACTGTGTCCCAGGTTGCCTAGGTCCCTGTAGGGCCTCTACAAGCACCCACAGTAGGTGATGACAGTGGATGAATGACTGCACATGATCTCTGAGATGAGGCACCTGCCTGGCTGCCCTCCTCCTGGGAGTAAGAGATGCCTGGCATGTGGCCCTAACCCTTGGGGACCTGAAGCCATCTGCCTCTCTTGAGCCCCCATTTCCACCTTTATCAGATGGAGTGACAGAAGGGCCTTCCTCCTGGGAGACTAAAGAATCATCCATTCATTCATTCGTTCAGTGGGTTTGACTGGCCCCATGTGCTCTGGGCCCTGTTCTGGGCCCCAGAGTTTCAACCATGAACAAGACAGAGGGCCTGTGCTCAGACAACTTGGGTTCTGGTGGGGGAGACAGAAAACAAACAAGTGATTAAATAAGCCAGCCGCTTATTTACAGGGAGGATGCCAGGATGGAGAGAGAGGGCAGGCCTCGGGAGCGGTAGGCGGGGCTCCCTGAGCTGAGGCTCCTGCTGAGAGCAGGGAAGAGTTGACACTCCAGCTGGGACCTGCAGAGGAGAAAGATGCCACGAGGCTGGAAAGAGCTAACCCGGGAGAAAGACCGGGATGGTGGGAGGGGAGAGACAGCTCAGGCCCTGCCGAACATGTTGGGTACTAGGCAGCTGCGATTTTCCTGAGCCCAGAGGGTGGCCACTATGGCTCAGGCCAGTGCAGGCCAGTGCAGAGGCCCACCTTCCTGTTCGCCAAGATGCCCCTGGCTGCTGGGACAATGGTGTCAACGGGGTCAGGGGAGGAGGGAGACAGCAAGAAGGCTGGCAGTGACAGACCTGATCCCAGGCAGTGGTGGTATCGGACATTAAGCCTGAGTTCATGGGCTGGATCCCACAGCAGTAAAACATGGTACTCTGCAAGGCTGGTCCAACGTGGGTAGGTGCTGGGTTTGAATCCGGAGACCTCCCTGAGGACGCCAGGCCTGCACTTGCTTGCAACCTAGGGCTGGCCGGAGCTGGGGGTCAGATCCTGTTGGAGCGCTGCCTCTCTGTCTCTCTGTGTGCTTCTTGCTTGTGGAAGAAATACAAATAACCTGAACAAGAAAGAAAAAAAGACTAGGTTAAGCTGTGCACACCCAGCCCAGGGCCCAGCACACTTGGCACTGGTGGGTGAGTCACTGAGGGTGTTGAAAGGGGCTGGCGGACCTTGCTAAGCCGAACAAAGCACAGAACAGCGCCCTCTGTAGGAAGAACAGGGTGGGCCAGGAAGCTTCTACGGTCCCCCAGTGTGTGCAGAACCAAACTCTGGGAGCCTGGGGCAGCGAGCCGGAAATGTGGTTGACGGGATGGAACTGGGGTGCATGGGGAAACGAGGGAGCAGAGGAGACTTTTTTTTTTTTAACCAAAGGGTGTGTGCACTCACTAGAGAGAGAGGGAGAAAGCACCCCTGTGGGACACGTGAGCCTACCTACCCACCCAGACCGGGTCAGGGGCTCAGACTGGCCATCTGGATCTGGCCACCTTAACCACCAGGCCACAGAACTGTCCCAGGGAGATGTTCTTTAGATTTTAAAAACTTTATTTAGAAATCATTTCAACCTGGCAAAAGTTGCAAATATGATAAACAGGAGCCCTCCTTTCAGATTTTTTAATATTTTACCATTTGATCGTGTTTGCATCTTCTTGGTGCCGTGTCCCAGCGATGTCCTTCACAGTGTTTTGGGGACTGTGGCTAGAGAGAGGTCCAAGACCCAGTCCCAGGTCACACGTTGCTTGTTCGTGCCCTGTCTTTAGTCTCTCTCCTCTCATTTCGTCTGTGAACAAGACAGAGACTCTCACCAGGGTCGTGACAGCGGGATCCACCCCTGTCCTCAGCCAGCCCCAGATCATGGGCACCTGAGTGCCTGGCGTACTCAGGGAGGTGTCTGGACGTGAACTTGGAACCTCCTCGTAGGCGGGTCAGCCTCACTGAGCGTGACATTTACGGCTGCGCCGCTGTCCGGCCCTGTCAGTCTGTTATTCCAGGGGAGCCCCTCGCCTTTCTTCTTTCACAACGTGGCATCTTGCTATGCCGCGACGCTCTCCCGAGTAGCTGGGCAGGTGTGCACCACTGCCCCCGGCTCTGCAGGACACAGACCAGCTGTTCTGCAGTGTCCCCGTCTCTTCCTGGTGTTTCCTCATAATTGTTCTGTGTTATGCAGTTTTGACAGAATCACGGAAGCAGCTTGTATCTTTCTTGGTGCCTTTGTCCCATCACTGGCGTCACCTTCGGCCACTTGGCAAAGATGGTGTCTGTCAGAGACCGAGCGGCCATCCTGTTCCTCTCCACACTCCCCGTGGGTTTCAGCCTCCGCCGGGTATATCTGTTTATTACTGTGATGTTTACCAACTGGCGAATGTCTTTCTTCCTTCTTCTTTTTTTTTTCACAGAGGTTTTTGCTATAGGGTGCATGCGCTCACCAGAAAGACAGAGAGAGAGACAGAAAGCGTGAAATCGCCCCCAGGGGGGATGGCCATGCTGCAATCCCTTCTTCTCCTCCATTCTCCTTTCAGGATCCTGGGCAAGCACGCAACGCACATGTGCCCAGCGTGAGGTTTAAGCCACTGGGTCTGGGACTCGAACCACGGTCATCTACATGGGAGTCCAGCAATGTGGCTAATACGCCAACTGCTGGTCCATCTTTTGTCTTTTTTTAAAAGAGTTTTGTTGTTACAGAATTATTTATTTAATTTTATTCATTCATTCATTCATTTATTTTAATTTGCGTAGAGACACGCACAGACAAAAAGAGAGAGAGAGGGAAATGAGAAAGCAAGCAACTAGGTCTGGGACTCAAACCATGGTTGGCCATGTGGGAGTGTCCAGCACCTTAATCACCATGCCACCCACTGATTTCCAGGAAAATTTTGCAATAGGGTGCATGTGCTCACTGGTGAGACAAAAAACAGAAAGTAAGAAGTCACCCCCCCCCCCAGTGGGGATGGCCACGCCACAATCCCTTCTTCATTCTTCTCTTGTGATCTTGGGTTCACATGTACACACACCCAGCATGAGGTTTAAGCAGCCAGGTCTAGGACTAGAACTGTGGTCGACCACGTGGGAGTCCAGCAATGCAACCATTATCCCATCTGCTGGTCCCATTTTTCTTTCTTTTATAAAATTTCGCCAGTGTGGGAACCAACAAGTGGCATGGTGGTTAGGACCCTGGGCTTCCACATGGTTGACTTTGGTTCAAGTCCCAGACCTGGTGACTTGAACTGGTGAGAATCGCACTGGACACATGTGGATGCGTGCCCAACATCCCAGGAGGAGATTGGAGGAAAGGGGATTAAAGTGTGGCCATCCCTTGAGGCGGGGGTGATTTCTCACTTTCCCTCTCACTGTCTCTTTCCATCTCTCTGTTGAGCACATGCACCCTATGGCAAAAACCTTAAAAAATATATATATATGTATATATATACACACACAATATATATATATATATAAAGAGAGAGAGAGCGCGCCAGAGGGCAGGTGCTTGCTAGAGACAGACAGAAAGGGAAAGTGAGAAAGCACATCCCTGGCTGTGGGGAAGGGCCATGCTGCAATCCCCTCCTCCTCCATTTTCCTTTTGGGATTTTGGGCACGTACGCATGTACCCAGTCTAAGATTCAAACTGCACTCGATTGGAGATTTTCTATCCCCCCCACACACACACAGCTTTTTTGCTCTAGGCTGCACACACTTGTCAGAGAGAGACAGAGAGAAAGAGAAAGACAGTGAGAATCACCTCCAGGGGCTATGGTCACGCCCTAATCTCTTCTCCTCCAGTCTCCTCTTGGGATTTGGGGCATGCACATGCGCCCAGCGTGATTTTTAAGCTGTCAAGTCCAAGATTCGTACTGCACAGTCGACCGTGTGAGATCCAGTACCTTAACCACCATGGCCCTGGGTGACCCTCCGCCTAGTGATTTTCTAATTCCATCATCCC